ATTGGGTAAGCAATTGTTGCTCCTACTTAATTGGTAATTTATGTTCAGGTGACTAAATAATTATCTCTTGTTGTTGTTGTTATTCTTCCAGCAAGCAAGCCGTTGACAAAGCACTTGAATGTCGCTATAATTGACAATAATCCTCTTTTGGGGAGAAAGAATGTGATAGAGAAAGGTCACACACCTGATCCCAGAGTCAGTACAGTCACACCTGCGACGATATCTTTCCTCAAAGGTATATAACACTATGTTTCTGCTCGTTGTCCATTTTCTTGAATTAGCTACCGGAATAGCTCTTAAATGGTAGCATAAGCTTCATTTAAGTTTAAGATGCTGATTTTGCCACTACGAATCCAGATTTGAGCTAGTCTTTGTCCTGAATCAGTACATGGATATCTTTTTTAGTTACTTCTATGGATGGTCTAAAACATGCAGATATTGGTGCGTGGAAATACATTGAAGAACAGCGACATGCGTATTTTGATAAAATGCAGGTAATGAACATTAACTTGTTACATTCCTTCCGAAGCTTTTATACCATCGCTGCTGAAATCTTAGTCAAATTAAAGCAAAACCTTAAAGTTGTTTGAAGCTAACATTAAAAGCAAAACTATAATCAGATCTACTCTGTGAAGGAAGTAAACAAAGTTTTATGTTAATTATTGGGGGTTTTAGGTCTGGGACTACACGGGCCTTGGATACACAAGATACAATGCTAAAGATGTCGATCAAGATATTTTGGGGTAAGCTTAAATACATCTGCATCCTTTGATGATGTTAATACCTTTGTACTCATTCTTGGCATGATCCAGGTGTGTTGTGGAGAATAAAGTTCTCCAGAGTTCTCAGCTATCTTGTTTTCAGGTAATTTGCTTTCTTGGGTCCGTTCAAGTTTTTGATGCAATCTTTCAGGTTTCTCTTAGAAGGATATGTTATTTGTATCTGCAGGAATCAGATCTCCAGAAGACTATTTATCCAGCGAGGTTAAACTCGATGGATATGCTACCAAGTTCTTCGTTGACTGGTCTTGGTGAAGTACCATCCACAACAGATTTGTTTATGCGAGGACGTCTTGCTAAGCTGGAGCTAAGCGATGGAAACAACGTCTATGCAAAACTAGTGGTAGGTGTTTCTCAATTTTCTATGTCTGAGTGAAAACCATTTCTGAATCTCACCTAACCATTTTGTGTACACGCAGGTAGGCGCCGATGGGTCTAAGTCGAGAGTGAGGGAGTTGGCAGGGATCAAAACAACCGGATGGAACTACTCACAGAACGCTATCATCTGTACAGTGGAGCACAGTGTCGAAAACTTCACAGCGTGGCAACGGTTCTTACCTAATGGCCCCATCGCGCTTCTTCCCATTGGAGACAAGTTTAGCAACATAGTCTGGACTATGGATCCAACAGAGGCGTCAGACCGCAAAACCATGAGCGAGGATGACTTCATCAAAGCTGTAAACGACGCTCTGGATTACGGATACGGTCCACATCCAGAGACGACAACGAGCTCACCGGGGGGTCTCTCTTGGCTTACAGGAGATGTGACCATATCTGGCAAGGAGAGGTTTGAAACTCCACCAAAAGTTGTGAAGCTTTCTTCAGAGAGAATGATGTTTCCTTTGTCTTTAAAGCATGCGAAAGATTATGTGTCGAAGCGTGTGGCTCTCGTTGGTGACTCAGCTCATACTGTTCACCCGTTGGCTGGTCAAGGAGTGAATCTAGGATTTGCAGATGCGTCTGCTCTCTCTAAAGCTATAGCTGAAGGCATTGCTCTTGGTACTGATATAGGAGAGGTATATGCTCAGATTCTTCTTCCAAGTCTAAACCATTTTGTTAACTTCTTGTTTACTTGCTTATTGATGATTTTTTGTATTTTGTAGACGAATCTGCTCAAACGATATGAAGCTGAGAGGAAACCTGCGAATATAGCGATGATGGCGGTTTTAGACGGAATCCAGAAGATGTACGCAGTGAATTTCGGACCGCTGAATGCGTTCAGAGCGGCTGCGTTTCACGGTGCTCACTACATTTCGCCGCTAAAGAAGCGTATCATATCGTATGCTTCAGGAGACCAATCTTTGCCACTTTTTTCTTGAAGAACGTCTGTCTCTCTGAGCTGAGGAATTGATTTGCCATCTGTATCAAATAATCTGAGTCATCTCTTCTTTTGCACTAGCACAAGTTTCAAATAAGGTTGTTATGATTATGTAATGTGATCATGTATTTAGCTGTTGAACACGTCTACATTGGCAAGACAAAGTCATTGTTCCATTCCAATTTGCGTTATTTATTACAGCAAGTATGTGTTAATGGCGAACAAACAATCTTGATAGCTATATGCCTATATGTATAATGTATATTTCTTTTATACTTTAGAATGCAACTTTATGTGCACAATATTTACAAAAACGTGTCCCGAACTATTCTCGCCATGATTCGTGACCCAAGCCGACTCAGAATCTCAGGAAGTACTGTCACAGAGATTCCAGGCAACACAGGAAGCAGTTCTCTAACCACTTGAGATACATCTACGATCTGTTTCACGATATTAACCACACATTAGTTCATTACTCGGTACTCCACTAGAGATTACGAGAGAAGATCCTGAGAGATTTCTGATACTGACCTGATCAGGATCGTTCGACATGGAGCTTCTCGCGGTGAGGAACTCGATTACTTTCTGAACGTTGTTCAATATGACTTTGTCTTCCTCAGTCACTGATGGAAGTAGTGCTGCAGGCTTGAAGGGTCCAAATGTTGGTGGTACCATACCGAAGATTGGTGTAGCGTTTCTGAATCCGAAGATCGCCATAGCTTGCACCAGCTGTTCTCTCGTGATTGCATCGATGCCTTTTACTATCTGTTTTTTTAAGCACTCACTTTCAGAACTCAGGACGCCATGAATAAGGAAGGTTAAGAGATTAAAGTAACTATGATTAGTAGTACCTCATCCAGTAGAAACTCACGGAAGAAGTTTCCTTTCTCGGAAAGCAGGAATGACAAAGCGACTCTCGTTTGAGCTGGCTGGTCCGGTTGGGACGACGCGCTGGTCGGAAACATAGAAGCAAGACTGCTTGGCTGGCTTTGCATAAGAGCCAGCTCAGCCATGCCTCCATTCATATCTTCTCCTCCTCCACTTTTGGCTGCTGTAATGAAAGTCTCAAAGGCTTGCATCACATCTATGAATCTTTCAGCATCGAAAACTCCAGTTTTGCCATATATTGTGTACCGCAAAGCCTCCCTCAGGCGAGGTGACTCATCCGTCAGGAGCCGCTAAAACCATAAGAATACATTAACGATAAGTATTTTGCATGATCCATTAAAAGACAGTGGATAAGTGGATTCACAGAGTTCATATCAAATTACCTGAGCGATATAAGGATAGGCTTCGTCCACAATGGCAAATTCAGGATTGCCTACTAAAGCTATCCCTTCGAGCACACCAATAGCTCTAATAATGAGGGCGAAATAAGGAGGAATTCTGAATGGATAGTCAAAAGTTATCTGCGCCAAATCTGCTGCCAACTCCTGAAAGTTGATGTTTTTAGCTCCGCCACCTTCAAGTGCCTGATCAAAAACCTTGGCCAGGACAGGTAATATAGGTCCTAGATTGACCCCATCAGGGATGAAACCAAGCTTGACAAAATCTTTTACTATGGCATCGTAATCTCGGTGGATTAAGTGTGCGATGGCTTCAATCATTCCGTACTTCTGATCATCAGTCAGTTTCGTAACAAGACCTGTCAATACACAAACAAACATAAAATGTCAACATAAGGCTTTTCTCATAGCACATGTGAATGTAAGTATGTAACTGCGTGACCAAACGAATATATATTTCAATAAATTATAGTCACTGGAACTAGAGCTGTTACCAAAATCAAGAATGGCAAGCTTCCCGTCTGGGGTACGAATCATATTTCCAGGATGAGGATCAGCATGGAAAAAGCCAGTATCAAGCAACTGTAGCATAAAACAGTAACCAGTGTTAACAAGAGTATAAATGCACATTATCTTATTTTTAAAGCAGGAAATGTGTGCTAGAAGCTGAACAAAGAGGGAGATGCTACAAATTTTACTATTTCTCCGCAAAAAAATTATGCAGGAAGAGTTACCTGTTTTAAGTAGCAAATAACACCAACATTCACAAGTTCGCCAACGTCACTCTCCATACTTTGAGACAATTTTTCGCCATCGATCCACTGTGTTGTAAGAACCTTCCTAGACGTGTACTTTTGGTAGGTTTTTGGCACAATAACCTGAAACAAGCAATCACTGCACGATCAAAAACCATTTCAAAGATGCCAAACCAAATAGGTACTTGTCAAACACAAGTTTATGATCGGACGCCTCACGTCTTATATAAATAGAGAAAAATGAAGTGCATAATAGAAAAGTTATGGGGCGTACTTGTGGGAGATCTTTCTTCATCATTTCTGCAAAATATGTACCATTTTCTCCCTCGTTAACATAATCCAGCTCCTCAAAAAAGCGAGCAGCCCATTCATCAACCAGTCCAACAACATCTACTGACACCTGCACGAGAATTTCCCAAATGAACAAGAAGGTCGAGAGTCATTAAGGAGCATAGTGAAGGAGAACAGTAAGTGCATAAGCTGAGCCGTCAGACGAAACCTTGCCTGAGGGAACTTCCGCAGAAAGAGACCCAACTTCCGTATCACAAACAAATCAACAGTCACAGTCTCAAGAACGAAAGGCCTCTGTACTTTCACTGCCACTAGATCCCCGTTTTCCTTTAATCTCCCCTTGTAAACTTGTCCCAGGGATGCTGAAAAACAAATTTAACAATAAATCATCTGAAAAATAAGTCTACGAAAATGATAAGTTGGGCATATGAATAACATGGTTCGAAATTTACCGGCAGCTATTGGAGACGTAGAGAGCTCTGAATAAACTTCGTACCATGGCTTCCCAAGCTCTTCCTCGAGAAGAGCCATGGCAATATCATCAGGAAATGAAGGCACCTACGCATAAACAAATAAATGAAACAGAAAACACCCACATTTAGCACTAAGACAGAAAACTCTAATGGAGAAATTAAGATTATATATGATAACGCATGGAGAGAACAACAACAAAAATTCTGCATTATACCTTGTCACAAAGCTTCTGTAGTTCTGTCATTGCAGCAGGAGACAAGATATCTGGTCGAATACTCAAAGCTTGCCCAAGTTTAATATACGCTGGACCCAAGGAAGTTACAATTTCCCTCAGTTCAATTGCTCTAGAAACCTCATTCTGAAAATGATGACAGAGAGAAAAATGAGACTCATTATCACCTAACATACTCGCAAGCAACAAAAAAAGAAACTTGAAACAAAATTCGAATAAAATACTGAAAAACTGTGTACTTGACTCGTTTAGATTTAACGCAAAACTGAAAGCTAGGACATGAATCTTTCTTTTCTAGTGTACATTCACTCACTTAGATCGCTAGAATCTGCAAGCCACAACTACGTTTACTACTGTTTGCTCGATATAGATCAAAGCAGTCAACAGAAAAATTACCTCTTTAACTTTCTTGTTGATCACATCCCCTGCAATACGCGAGAGAAACCCTCCGGCGACTGAAAGCAATTGGATAATCCGAGTAGCAACGGCACGAGGACGTTTCCCCCAGTACTCAGAAATGGTGTCCGGGTCATACACCAGAGGTAAGAACTCACTGCTTCCACCAGTCTGTAAAGTCCAAACGAAGAAGATAAAGTAACATTTACAAATGCTAAATCAAATACTAAAATTGCCGAGAGTGTTTACCTCGACAAGCCTTAGCTGAATATTATTATCGGCGAAGACTGAATCTTTCAAATTCTGGCCACGAAGCCCTCTCATTAGTACAGATAACTGTTCGTCTTGTTCCATTTGAGCTCTCACCCGTTTAATCTCTTTTGAAACATCGCCAATTCTCTGTGACATTTGCCATAAAAGTTCTAATTTTACACAATTCGACCTAAAATTTTCAGAATCGAGATTTTTCAATTGACTGATGAGAAGTGGAATCGTACCGTGGAGACATTGTTGTTGACTGATTTTGACGCGGACGATGAAGAGGATCCGTTTACGGTGGTGGACTTGGGTGGACCAGTCTGCGTAGGTTTGGGATCGGTGGCGACGGCTAGAATCCGTCGGGAGCGATTACGAGGAGGAATCCCGGAGACGAAGGAGCGGCGGGAGGAGCCGGAGAAGCGAATTGACTCCGGTCCACAGTAGACGAGCCGTGGCACTGCTGCTTCCATGTAGAGCGAAAGAGAGAGATAGAGATTTGGGATATTGAGTTGATTGTGGTTTGATGAAGAAGCAGTGGCTCTCTCTCTCTCTCTCTCTCTACCTCCGAGTCGAGTGTTTGGTATTTCAGCTGAAGGTAACGGCAATGGAGGGACCACGTGGCACAACCAAGTGCATATGAAAATTTCTCTGTTGCTAGAAGAACTGAAAGTAGAAATGGGAAAACTACAAAAAATAAAGAAAAGGGAAAATGGGGTGAGAGAGGCTCGAACTCTCGACCTCAGGATTACTCAGATAGCTATGAGACCTACGCGCTAGCCAACTGCGCCACCACCCCTTTGTGGAATCTGTTCCATCTAATGTATAAGTCTTGTTACAAAACAGAAGATAAAAGTAAAAAAAACCAAACTGAGAATGAGAATATGAGATGACCAAATCACCCACTTTTCCAATAAAGCGAGAACGGAAAGTCCAAAAAATAGCAGACAACCGAAGTGGAAAGTTTACGTGTCAACGTCATTTTTCTTCTGACTTTACTTTCCTTTTTCTTTTCTCTACGTCGGCGCCTCCATGGCCAATGTCGGCTTAAGCTTTATTATATTTTTCATTTTATCTCCTCGTTTGCTTTCGATGTGCACATGCTTTATTTAATTCGTAAAGCAAACACATAAAAATCACAAACTAGTGTCCCAGTTAAACAATTAAGTTGATGATATGATGAAAAAAACAAGAGAATTAATTATAAATTTATAACCGTACTATCCAAACGAAAACAGTTTTCACTGATTTCCAACAACAGTTTTTCAGGAACCATTGACGCTCCCTCATGTTAAAACTTTGATAAAACATAGAACTTACTCTTTCATTTTTGTTTGGAACTTCTAAAAGGTGAAAAAAGCTTAGACATGAGCTATTGAGATTATCTACACAGTTTAGATATTAACATGATTGACATGTCAATCATAATTGTTTAAATTTTGTTGGATATTTATATGATTCGATTTTTCATTTATTAAAAGTACTCCTAAAATACGTCGACGTCGGTGAGAATAGTTAAAAAAGAAAATATTTCGACAACTAGTTGTCTTAAGACAGCAGAAAATGTCTTGGACAGTGACACTATTATATTGTTTTTGGGTTTTCGTATAATAAGTTTGTAAACCATAGGTTAACGAAAAAGACAAACAACTGATTTCAAAAGCCTATCCTAATTAGTTCTCTTAGTTGTAATGTTTCCTATTACAAACTATAATTATCCAGGTGCAAGTCTGTATAAGATTCCCAATTAACAAATGTAAGTAGTAGTCTTTAAACGTGGTGTGCTTTGATTTAAAAAGGAGAAAACTTTAATTTAAAAAAAAAAACGAAAAGATTTGAGGGTCAAAATACGGTTTTCACAAGAATAAAAGGACTGGAATGTAAACGTAAAGCATCATTTCTCTCTCCCTCGTCTCTCTTCACTGCAAAATCAAAAGCCAAAATTTAACCACTTGCCACCGTATGAGAAGCTCGTCTCTGACGGTCGATCCTCCGCTTGCCACGCCACCGCCACGTCAGCAGTCTCCTCCATCCACATAAATAGACTTTTCTGCCCAATTACGACCAACCGATTTTCGAAGATTCGAAACCAATTTCTCCTTCCTTCCTTTCTGATTCTACTTTTTACCGGAAAATCTCATCGGAGGAATCGGATTTTCTTCTTTTAATCGTATCCTGTCTTGTCGACGGATAGATCGAATTTTCGAGACTCTCCGGTACGTTTGTGATCTGTGTCTGTGTTCAAATTCTATGCAAACTCTCTGATTCGTCTAACGCCAATGCATTTTTCATCTGCAACTTACTTTAGGCTTTGAATTTGATAGCGACGATTGAAGCCGAGATGGTTGAGACTTGAAACGGCTTCGTTTCATTGGGATTGCTTTTTGATGCAAATGCTTCCCTGAGAAGACGTTTTTGTTCTTTGATGTAAATAAAAAGGTAACGAGTTTATATGCGTAGGTAAAGCATCTTTTGAGTTCGTGTTGAGAGTTTAAGACCAATTTCATTGGTCGTTATCAGTGTAGAATCGAGAATTTAGTCGAAAAATGGTGGGAGCAACTTTGTTTCACCGAAGAAAGCATTCATGGCCGCCAGAGGAGTTTATCAGCAGAAACACCCTGCAATTAGTAAGTCAAATTTAAGATGACGAGAAATAATCGTTTCGATTGGAGAAATTGGATTCGTCTTTAAATTTCTTTTCCTTTCTTATATGGTCATTTTGTAGCTTGATTTCGATAGTGCTGCTCCGCCACCACACGCATGGAGGAGGAGACTAAACTGTCATGCAAATATCCTGAAAGAATTCAGTATAACGTTTAGAGAAGCCGTTAAAATGGTAACTAAGACATCTTATATTGTTGCATGGTTGTATTTTCTTCATTTTGTGGTCGTATGGTTGTATTATCTTTGATGCCAAACACCAAATGTGATTTTTTGGAGTTTCCTAAAAGTTTGTTCTTTTGTAACTTTTGGGAATTATAGGTTCGTTTGGGGATACGGCTATGGTCTTATGTCAGAGAAGAGGCCTCCCATGGAAGGGTAAGTCCTTGGAAATTTAGAATCTCTTGACATACAAGAATCATACAGTTTCATTGTATAGAACCTTTTTGCAAGTTTCAGTCTTTGTCGTGGAGAATTAAAATATGATTTCTGATTGCTACAGAAAGCACCTATTGATCCTTTCACCAAAGAGAACTGCAAACCATCTGCATCCCAAGGTGTTCCACTTGGAGGAATGGGGTACATAGCAGATAGCCTCTGATTCTTTTGTTTGTTTTACTGGCCATTATTTCTGTAGCTTGTGTTTGACCAATGCTGCTGGTGATTGCAGAAGTGGAAGCATATCTAGGGGATTCAGGGGTGAGTTTAAGCAGTGGCAAATTATTCCGGGAACATGTGATACATCACCTATGATGTCTAATCAGTTCTCTGTAAGTTATTTTCAGTTGAGCTTAGTGGAGTCCATGCTTTGCGTATCCCTGACTAGTTACCTGAATTCCTCCCTTATAGTTGTTCCTACTTCAATTGCAAGTTTCACTCTTGCAGTTTTTACTTCATGTTTGTAACACTTCGCTACAATTGATATTCTTTCAATGTCTATGTTAGTCTTGGATTTTTAGTATTTCTTCAAAGTTACTTATGTTCCGACTGTCATTTAACTAGTACGCTTTTCTAATTGTAGTTTATTTCCACAGTAAATGTTTTCTTGTGAGTAGTGCTAAGTTAATAAAAAGCTTAAAATATTTTGTCACTTGTGTTTCTTATCACATTTCGTTGGCCCACTCCATTCTTTGCAGATTTTTATTACTCGAGATGGTGCGCACAAAAAGTATGCATCAGTTTTGGCTCCAGGCCAGCATGGAAGTTTAGGGTATGGATCTGTTTTATATTTATTCTCTATTTCAACGATGCAGTTTATTTTTTATTTCGTGCACCTTAGACTGGTTTCATGGTCTCAGAAAATCGCGTGATAAGGGTATTTCTTCATGGGGTTGGAATCTGAATGGCCAGCATTCCACTTATCATGCTCTATTTCCTCGGGCCTGGACTATATATGATGGTATCGACCTTCGTAACTTCTTCTTTACACACAAGTATATTTCTCTTGGTATATCAGTTGTAATGATGCTTCTGCTTGCAGGTGAGCCTGACCCAGAGTTAAAGATTTCATGCCGGCAAATATCCCCCTTTATACCAAACAATTACCGAGATAGTAGTCTTCCAGCAGCTGTGTTTGTATATACTGTAAGTAATCCTTTCATCTAGTGTAATCCTGCAATCACCTTGAAGCAGAATCTGAGAAAAACCTTATGAGTGACTACTTTTGTTTTAGTTGGTGAACACTGGAAAGGAAAGGGCAAAAGTCAGCCTTCTATTTACATGGGCGGTGAGTTGGGATCTGTTTCATTTCAGTTACACTATATCCAAAAGAGCAGATGGAAGATATGTTTACCATCTTTTTATTTTGCAGAACTCAATTGGTGGGACTTCACATATGTCAGGGGGACATGTGAATGAGCCATTCATGTAAGGAGAAATATGTAACATCTTTTCTTTAAGTGATTGTGGCTTCAAGTCGATGTAATTTCTTATTTGGTTCCTTTTTCCTTTCAGTGGCGAAGATGGTGTCTCCGGTGTCCTCTTACATCACAAGCAAGTCACTTTGCCTTAGTACTATTAATTTTGGTTGTTTTGCATATAGATTTTAATGATTTGCAATGTGTGGTCCATGCTTCCATTCTTTCTTAATGGTTAAATGGAGGACCTTTAGGATATGGCAGTTACCTGAAGTTTTTTTTTAGTGTTTGACATTGTTTGCCGACTCATATCTTCACTTGCTCCATTGATGAAGTTCAGCTGATATAAGATATTCTTGTTACAGTAAAAGGTCGTGTTCTTTTCTCTAAGAGAGTAGATTTGTTTTGAATGTTTGATATTTTTCCAGGACAGGCAAGGGAAACCCTCCTGTTACATTTGCGATTTCTGCTTGTGAGACTCAGAATGTGAATGTGACTGTTTTACCATGCTTTGGATTGTCCGAAGATAGTTCTTTTACAGCAAAGGATATGTGGGAGAAAATGGAAAAGGTGATATTTCTTTGCATCATCTTTCTGAGACTTTGCATGTTCATACCTTGTCAAAACATGCTATTGACTCTATAGTTGATCTTTGTTCTGAAATTTTCAGTCTAGTAAGAACTTTTCTTTCGTATATATGGTGTGATTGTTATAAATGAGACTGACATTCAGATTTTCTCTCTAAAAGGATGGGAAATTTGATCAAGAAAACTTCAATAGTGGGCCGAGCACGCCTTCAGCAGCTGGAGATACTATTTGTGCAGCAGTCTCAGCTTCAACATGGGTAGAGGCTCATGGCAGGTGCACTGTATCTTTTGCTCTTTCATGGTCATCACCAAAAGTGAAATTTTCAAAGGGAAGCTCATATGACAGGTAAACAGAGTTGCAACATTTGTCATCTCTTCCTAAAATTGAAACTTGTTTACTTGTCGATTGTTATTACCAACTTACTTTCATATTATCAGTGTTTCATGACAATGGCTACTTCTCCTTTCCATTGCGTCACTTTCCTGCGTACCATGTTGTTTATATTTTCTCATTGATGCTTGGTCTGCTTTTAATCTTTGAAAACGTTCTAAAGTACATGCTTTTAGAAGATAAGATACTAACCAATATATCAATGTGGTGTCAGACACTTGTGATTGTCTGAGTTTTGGTTGCTGACTTTCTCTGTCTTCGGTTTGCAGGAGATACACTAAATTTTATGGAACTTCGCCAAGAGCAGCTCTGGACCTTGTACATGATGCACTAACACGTATGTATCTGTTGTGTCAATGTCTTTGTGTCTTATGCTTCCCTTGAGTTGCAGCTATTTATTTTTGGATGTTTGATTAATACTGCTGTTAATTGAAACCATTCCATGTTACACATGCACATAATGCTGCTTATGCATTGGTTTTTAAAATTCAGATTATAAGAGGTGGGAGGAAGATATTGAGGCATGGCAAAATCCCATTCTCAGAGATGACAGGCTCCCTGAGTGGTAACTGCTTTGTAACCTTTCTCTGTACACTCAAAGCATTGTAGTTACTTTTTCTTTGCAATTTTCGCATCATCACTATACTGCATGTTCATGTACTCCATAATAGATTACTTTTTTAATACTTTGTTCTCCCCTGATTATGTTTGTTGTTATTTGTAGGTACAAGTTCACTCTGTTCAATGAACTTTACTTTTTGGTAGCTGGTGGTACAGTCTGGATAGGTACACATCTATATGCATTGAAAAGGAAATCTTTGAGTATAAAATTGTGTCCTGTGATTTAATATTTTTGTTACTTGAAAATATTTTATCTACCATCTCAAACATTTTCTGTTGCAGACTCTGCTTCACTCCAACCCAATGGGAATAGTCAGCATCAACAATCGGATTTAGGAAATTCAGATGGCAACGGAACTGGAGTTAACATTAAAGATCAGCAGAATAACGTTGATAATTGCGACAGCAATGGAATAAAAAGCAATGGGAAAGCATCAGTTACTCACAAAAGGAATGGTTTGTTTGTCGACACTTGGTACGTAGATGATGGCGATGATGTTGGCCGGTTTCTGTACTTGGAAGGTGTAGAGTATCTTATGTGGTGCACATACGACGTGCACTTCTACGCATCCTATGCGCTCCTTATGCTGTTCCCAAAGATCGAACTAAACATCCAGCGGGATTTTGCGAAAGCTGTGTTGTCTGAAGATGGGAGGAAAGTCAAGTTCCTGGCAGAAGGAAACTGGGGAATACGCAAGGTCAGAGGCGCTGTCCCACACGATCTAGGGATGCATGATCCGTGGAGCGAAATGAATGCCTACAACATACACGACACAAGCAAGTGGAAAGATCTTAACCCGAAGTTTGTGCTTCAGGTGTATAGAGATTTCGCAGCCACAGGAGATTACCAATTTGGAATAGATGTTTGGCCAGCGGTTCGTGCGGCTATGGAGTACATGGAACAGTTTGATAGAGACAACGACGATCTAATAGAGAACGACGGTTTCCCTGATCAGACGTACGACGCATGGACTGTTCACGGTGTAAGTGCCTACTGTGGTTGCCTCTGGCTAGCTGCTCTTCAAGCTGCAGCGGCAATGGCTCTCCAAATCGGTGACAAGTTCTTTGCAGAGCTGTGTAAGAACAAGTTTCTGAATGCGAAGGCAGCAATGGAAGCGAAACTCTGGAACGGTTCGTACTTCAACTATGACAGTGGTGCGAGCGGGAACAGCAAATCTATACAGGCTGATCAGCTTGCAGGTCAATGGTATGCGGCGTCTTCAGGCCTGCCTCCGATTTTCGAGGAGTCCAAAATCAGAAGCACTCTGCAAAAGATCTTTGATTTCAACGTGATGAAGACCAAAGGAGGGAAAATGGGTGCTGTGAATGGGATGCATCCTGATGGGAAAGTGGACGAGACGTGCATGCAGTCGCGTGAGATATGGACAGGTGTCACATACGCAGCTGCAGCTACTATGATCCTCTCTGGAATGGAAGAGCAAGGATTCACCACTGCTGAAGGAATTTTCACTGCTGGCTGGTCAGAAGAAGGTTTTGGGTAAGTTTTGCATTCTTCTTTATATGTATATATAAAGTTGAGACTGTTACAATACTAAACAATGTATTTGTTGTTACAGATATTGGTTTCAGACACCGGAAGGATGGACAATGGATGGGCATTACAGGTCGTTGATATACATGAGACCACTCGCTATATGGGGAATGCAATGGGCGTTGACGCTGCCGAAGGCGATACTTGACGCTCCAAAGATCAATATGATGGATAGAGTTGACTTGTCTCCTAGGAGCCGCAGATTCAATCACAACTTCAAAGTTGTCAAACACAAGGCTAAGTGTTTTGGCAATTCTGCGTTAAGCTGTTCCTGCTAAAACAATTTCTTTTTCTTTGTTATTATAACATAAGCAAATATGAGGAATTAGCTGGACATGGAAGTTCTGAGTTGTTGTATAATTTAGAGAGGTGGGATAAGATTTCCCATGAAAGATAATGGAAACGTTCCTGAAAATGGCGTTGGAACATTTTGATGAGAGAGACGAAAACAAAGTGTATGTTTTGTTTTTTTCTGTTTTTGCTTTTGATAATGAGACATCTCTTCGTGTTTTATTACCTCTGTCGCTAAACTCCAGTGGCTTAAAGAAAAGCCACGTCGGAGAAAACTCTAGCGTTCAATTTTAGACCTTGGAGCTTTGAAGATTCTACATCTTCGTTTTTGGACGTCACTAATTTTGGTACATTAATTACTGAGTCAATTTTGGATGTTCATACATTTAATTCCACGTCATCATAAGGTATGAACAGTCGGAAAAATATTTTGATATAAAACCATATCGTCGTCATCAAAACCTCAAGAGATCCGATTTCATACCCACACAATCATTTGGTTTAACTTTTTTATCTCTAGATCTTAGTGTTCTTACACTCCGTCGCTTTTCCGCTTTGAGGTACACTTCTCCGGCTAAAGCTACTAACGATTCATCGAACGTATTCATCACAGAAAAATCTCCTCTCGATCTTTTCTGTTCTGATCGGGTTTTCACTGAATTGGAGAGATTCGCCGTTTCCTAATTTGATTTTAACATTTCATTTCCCGTGGTATTGATTAATCCATGGTTTTCGTTTCAGTTTGGATTCTCTGATTCCTCACAATCATGGGGAGGAAGATGCTTGCTGATGGAGAGCTTGACAAGGCGACTTCTGAGGAAGCCACCTATGATTTTGATCTGTTCGTCATCGGTGCCGGGAGTGGCGGTGTTCGCGCAGCTAGGTTTTCGGCTAACAATGGAGCTAAGGTGAGAATTTTTTGAGGAATACAGATACATTACTGCTGATTTTGAAATCTGCTCCTTGTGCTAATATTAATATGAGTGTTGTTCTGAATCAATTGTGATAGGTTGGTATTTGTGAGCTTCCATTTCACCCCATTAGCTCAGAGGAGATTGGAGGAGTTGGTGGAACGTAAGTTGTCTATTATCCTATATGCGTTGCTCTGGCTTCTTGTTAATGCTTGATCATAGTTGCTTTCGTTATTTTGCTGCTGTTGTTGTTATAAATCGAGAGTCTTTACCTTTATTCTTGTGTTTGGGTTTTCCAGCTGTGTTATTCGTGGTTGTGTCCCTAAGAAGATTCTCGTCTATGGGGCAACTTATGGTGGTGAACTTGAGGTAAGAAAGCATTTCTTTTTTCCTTTTAACCATCAGTTCAATGTCAATCTTCTTTAGCTGTAAAAGCAGTTATATTGATATGTCAACATTATCTTTTAGGCTTTGTATTGTTTGGTGAAAAGAAGCTATTTCCTTAGACATGTGTTTGATGATGTGTTTTGTGGTTATCTGCTGGCAGGATGCTAGAAATTATGGGTGGGAAATAAATGAGAATGTCGACTTCACATGGAAGAAGCTTTTGCAAAAGAAGGTATGCAGGATTGCCTATGATGCCTTATTTATTCTATTGTTTCATCAATTGAGTATTACACTGGTTTGATTTAATAGTACACTTGAACTAGTTTCTCTAAGTCATGCCAATGAAGTTAGCTAATCGCAAAAAAGATTAGCAATGTCATTTTCTCTTTAAATACTGGAGTTGTGGAGAGCATATGATAAAAACTATTTGAAGACGAGTCAGTTTGAGGTTTACCTTTTTTAGTGGTAATAGCAGTATACCTTGTTGGATCCCTCACGAAGAGAAACTACTAAAACTCTGGGATGTACAAGCTTTAATACTTTTTAGCAACCTATTGAAGATACCGATGTTATTGTTTGGTCAAGTATGAATTCTTAATGATGAAAAATGATTTTGACCTGCTCATTTTTTTATAGTGTGCCTACTATATACTTACATTAATTGGAAGTCTTGGTGATGTAACTAAATCGAACTGAAATAATCAGCTGATCATCTTAAATTCCCTATTTTGCAGACTGATGAGATACTAAGGCTGACTAATATTTACAAGCGGTTATTGGCCAATGCTGCTGTGAAATTGTACGAAGGTGAAGGAAGAATAGTTGGTCCCAACGAAGTGGAGGTGAGACAAATCGATGGCACGAAAATAAGCTATACCGCGAAGCACATATTGATTGCCACTGGCAGCCGAGCACAAAAGCCCAATATTCCTGGACATGTAAGTTTTCTGTGTTCATGTTAGAACTTACAATGGCAACGACTGTATACACTTGATATCTCTAAAATCCTCGAAGTAAAACATCTGTATGTTTGCAATATGATCTTCGAGTAAAATTAGTCTGTGGGAACAACTATGAACTGATATGTATGGAAAAGTCCACTGATGTTTGTACATAAATTTTCATTAACAGGAGCTGGCTATTACATCTGATGAAGCTTTAAGCTTGGAAGAGTTTCCTAAGCGTGCTGTAGTGCTTGGAGGAGGGTAATGTGTTTCTCAATGTTTTCCTCCTGATGTATCTAGCATGTCAGTCGTATCAATGATTCGATCCCCGTTTCTATTTACTTTTTAATCAGGTACATCGCTGTGGAGTTTGCATCAATTTGGCGTGGAATGGGT